TCCAACCAAAGGAAACTCCGTCCTTTATCTACCTTCCCGATTCGTATCCTGATTTTCGTCACATACTTGTCAATCAGTTCTCCAACGTTGATCAAGCAGATTGGGTCATCCTCAGCAATTTCCACAAATTGGAGGAAGATGTAAGCTTTTCATCCTCTTGTGCTGGTTATATCTACTGCACAGTAACAGTAAATCAACCAATTAGTGTATTATGCTTGAACAGGCGGTGAATTGGATGGCGAGACTTTGGCGAGTGAAGACAGTGGGTCCAACAGTTCCATCCATGTACTTGGATAAACGCCTTGAGGATGATACAGGTTATGGGATCAATCTCTTCAAGCCAGACTCCAGCTTGTGCATCAACTGGCTAGACAATCAACCGAAGGACTCGGTTGTTTATGTGGCATTCGGTAGCTGGATAGGGATCGAAGCAGAACAAGTCGAGGAAATAGCTTCCGCTTTGATGGAGATCGGATTCAGATTCTTATGGGTGGTGAGGGCGCTTGAGAAGGAAAAGCTACCAAGCAACTTCGTTGATGAGACGTCGGAGAGAGGGTTGGTGGTGACATGGAGTCCACAGCTTGAGGTATTAGCACATGAATCCGTCGCATGTTTCGTTACCCACTGTGGCTCAATTCGGTGATGGAGGCATTGAGTTTAGGAGTGCCGGTGGTGGCAGCGCCGCAGTTAGCGGACCAGCCCACCAATGCTAAGTTTATTGAGGACGTTTGGGGTTGGTGTGAGGGCTGCTGCTGATGAGAAAGGCATTGTGAGAAGGGAAACGTTAGTTTCCTGTATAAGGGAGATTATGGAGGGAGAAAGGGAAAGCAGATCAAAGAGAATGGCATCAAATGGAAGACTTTAGCTAAGGAAGCTATTGATGAGGGTGGAGTTCTGATAGGAATATTGATGAATTTGTAGCCGAATTAATTAGCGGTGCCGGACAACCAGATGCTTGACAAATTGGAGATTTTCCATTGTTCTTGCTTTTGTACCTTTATCATCGTTTAGTAGTTTTTCATTTTTCTCAAATTAAGAAAAGAAAGTAGTTTTATTTTTCTTGCTTGTAAATTGCAATGTCTCTCGTGTATTTTGCTGTGTGCGATGAGATTGCGACGAACTTGTGAAAGTTTAACATAAAAAAAAAAGAACAATAATGCATGGGAATACTATAGCAGAGGAAAAAATTACGTGCTAACTGCGGTTAATACTTACTTATATCGTTTACAAAGTAATCGGTTAATGAAATCTTCTACTACTCCCTCTCGGTTTTCATGCATGTCACATCTTCGCACAGACACAGTTAACACTTGACTCGACTGACAAATGACTCCGATCAGATGTTGGCCGTCGAATTGTTTCTGATCATTACAAGCCTTGCACCGCCGGTCCAACACCGTTCTACGTCCTCGTGTCTTCTTCCGGCTCCCAATCATTTATGTAGAAAGCACCACCCGCCGTCAGCAAAGAATTCTTTAATTAGTAGTAATTGTCAAGCGTTAAGTCGGCTGCTGTGCTTGCTTGAAAGATATTATTATTCCTTTTTGTTTTGGGCGATATATGATTACTTCGAAAGATTGTCAAGTCGACCGTTTACTTGAAAAGATCCTTTTTGGCAAACCAAAGTATGATCACTTTGAAAGATGGGACAGCATCATCACAACATATCCCATCCCATATTCCTATTCCCTTTTAACTTTTCTTCTAAGAGATATTGTAGACTTTTTTGGGGTTCAACAATTTTGGGTCACACTTCAGTCCATTCATCTTCGCATGAAACAAGGCTCTGTTTGGATTGTAAATTATTTGAGATATTTTTACTGTAACACTTTTTGTGATGTGATGTCTGTGAGATAAAAAGATAATTGGAAAGATAAAAAGGTGCGTTGAAAATTGTAATGATGATGTAAGCAAATAAATTTTGACTAATAAATCTCTATCCAAACAAACCTCTTAAGGTATTTATAAAAATTTTTAAAAAAAAAGTATTAATCATTCTCCAAAGAAATATATATCTTAAATAGTAAATGACCAAAATGATCACCAAATTATTCAAAACGGCACGAGTTAATTACCCAATATTTTTTTTTTTTTGTGGTGAACAAGGTCGCTCGACTGTCTAAAACGAGTATGTAAAATCATTTTGTCCAATTTAGTCAGTAAACCATCCGAAAAAAAAAAAAAAAAAAGCAAACTTGATTTGCTAGTATAGGTTTAAGGTATTGTACTATTTAATAATTAGAGAACGGAAGAACTAAAGAAATAGAACGAATCTCACAATTGATTGATTGATTGATATCTCTGCCGGCTGAGCTGACTCTTAAAACCAAAATCCATGAATCATTTTTAAATTTATTGAAGATTTTAAACCTCACAAGGTTAGAGAGCGACATGGGAGCAGCCATCTGATCATCCTGCCACTTGGATGGATTCCGCAGCATCAATGAGCTATTATATGTTTTTTCTTAATTTTTTTTATTATTTTCTTTCGCGCGTTACAGCTTACGTGGCATAATTCTGAGTTGCCGGCGCCCGCATCAATAAGAGCTGACGCCACAAAATGACGACAACGGCGAGTTTAGGCGGTGACCAATTTGACCATTTCCGGCTACTCGAGGGCATGTTTGTTGTCCACGCTCGTCGGAGAAACACAACATAACACTCTGTCGGATTTTAAAGGTAAACTAACGCAGTAGATGCGACCAATACCACAAAATTGGAACAGCGTCAGCCGGCTTCAGATGAGCACTCTGTCAACCAAATCAGCTGAGGAGAAAAAGACCAGGTGCCATCTTCTTCTCATCTCAGAAGAAAGAAGATGCGGGGCGGGGCGGATACAAATGGTCGAATCGAATCAACACAGCTCTTCAAGAAAACTCAGTTGGCAAATTCTCAATCGGAAAGGAACGCTATAAATATAGCACAAAACTGTCTTAACAACTCAAGACCACCGTCTACACCAGTAGGCATGGTGGTTACCAGAGAATCTGAGTTTTCTTATAGCTTTGGTACTCAAATACCTCTCTTAAAAGCAAGGCTGGTAAGTTCTGCATAATGTATTTGGTATCCCTTATATAACTAACTATCAACGAAGACTACATATTATTTGCTTTCCAGAAAGTTGAGATACTTCTTCCGGCAGATAAAGACGTGGATTTGGATATACTATTATTGTTATGTTTCAGACAACACTTCCGAGTGAAAATGCAACTTCAGCCTGTGCATCAGATTCAGGTAAATTGAGAGGGAGGAAGAATTTTGGGAAGACAGACACAAGTTCCATAAAACCTATGATGTCCTAAGAAAAATGGAAATGCCCGCATAACAGTGGAAAAGTACTGCAAACCACAAAACAAAAGATATTGAAATTCTTTGCCTAGCCAAATGCATGCTAAAGGTTAAGCACTACTCGGCAGAGAATAACAAATAACAATATAATAACAACAACCAAACAGAAAATCACAATATCAGAACCTCTATCAAAGATAAACAGGATAACAAAATATAGAGTTAGTAAATAACAGTCTCATAAGAACTGAACCTTAAAAAGGTACAGGAAAGGTAATCCGTTTTTTACTGCTGTCGGTCAGCTTAATCACTGCTTTCAATTTATGTACGTGTACATGTGCATGTCTCTAATTGTTCGTGTGTGTGTGTGTGCATGTCTCCATGCAAGTGTGCTTTCAAACTAGGCAGAGTGGCAGGATAGACGCTGTCCGCTAAGTGTATCGTTGCATGTCTTGCTCCCCTAATGAAGTTCCCAATAAAGTAGTAGGACATTTACCACAAGGTTTACTGACGAAAGGGAAGGCAGGGAACACACGAGAAATTTGTCACTTGTGCGAGGTATATTTAGCTACCCCTACCCATATTATCTCTTGGGAATGAGGTATTAAAGAGGAAGAAGGAAGAATAAAGGAGACATACGAGTGTGATATAACGAGGGCATAACCTGTAATGTCCATGCCTCGTTTGTTTCTCTCAGTTTTAACTATGAAACAATACCCTGCTGTTCTGAAATTACACACTGTCATGGCCATCTGAGACTCTATTGGTTGTTGTGCCATATATTATCCAAGCCTTTTTGAAAGGATAACCATGCTTGAAAAATTGCGTCTTTCAATACTAGTTAACAGTAAGCTTGCATCACACAACAGCACAATAAATCAAGTTTCAGCATGCATCATACAGCACTAGAGAAAATTCAATTTCGTATATGGGCTCCAGGTGAATCATATTCTTAGGTTCCACAAGTTAGTAAGTTTGGATGCATCAATGTGCATGAAGAATGGAAGAATCTGAGATTCAGGTTCAAAATCCCATCCAAAACCACACACACTCCCCGCCGCGCCCAACAAAAACAAAAAAAACACAACACCCACAAAAAAAAAACCAAAAAACACATAAAAAATGACGCTGGTGTAATTCTGGTGAATTCTACATATAACTCCAGAAGAGAGAGTAGGGACAGAAGAGGTCTCAAGCAGAAACCAGAAAGGAGGAGAAAAGGAACCATGGACTTCATACCCTGTACATTAATACAGAATCACAAGAAGATTTTAAATTATAGCTTATATCCCCAGCTGGGCCTAACAGAAATTACAAGCAAATAAACAAATGGAAAAATATAGTGAAGGCACAACAACAAAAACAAAAAACGCAGCACAGCATGCTTAAGTTCGTCTAGGATGCTAATAAAGCAAATTCAACATGAAAGCGAAAGAATACATCCACACAGAGCTACAGAGTGAGGAAAGTATGTCATAAACAAACTGCTCAGGCAAGCTAATGATCCCAACCCAACATAGAAGAACTGCAATATCCAAATATATGCTGAGCCTTACACAACAATAACTTTAAATAAATGATACTATCATGAGAAAATGGCAAACAAGAGAAGAAAACTATATTGCCAAATGGAATTTCATAGCTAAGATTATATTTTAGCAACCTTGATAACCCAGAGAGGTATGAACTTCCTCTTGTTTGGAAGGTGCATTGGTGAACGTTGTCTAGCAAGCAGGGCCATGTTGCATTAAGTACAACTTTACAAAGGGTTCGTAGCATAAACTTTACCAGAAGAATGATAAGACAGTTACCATAACAAAAGACAGAGGCAGAATCAACCCACAGATCACCCAACAATCTGGTATCACAGATCTAATCTAAGGCTTACACAACAATAAGAAGATATTCAGCAAAATCACATGCCACGTTATAAGTGATCCAGCATGATACCCAAAACTAATAACCAAACGGCTCACACGATTTATCAACATTTATTTGAAAATGAACAACTTTTGATAGTTACATATATATGGTTTCGTTAATACTATCTCACCTACTCATACCTTTATTGCATCTCTATTCCTTCACGAGCAACAATAAGCCCTGTAATTGATCTGCATCTCCATTTTCTGAAAGCACCAAAATGTCATCTTCTGTGGTGAAGTTATATCGCTGTCCAATGGCCCTTAAAAGCTGGTATACTTCAAACATTGTAGGCCTCTCCTTGGTGCAGGCAGTACACAGCTACAGGCAACTTTGAGAAACTGGAAAAGCTCACCATCATAACCCTTTGCAACCAAAGACTGATCAATTGCATCGTGAAGTTTGGAGTTGATTGATAGATTGGAAATCCATTCCACCAGGTTTCCCTTAAAGCTTTCTGGTGCCTTTGCCACAGAGGTAGGCAGCTCTCCTGTAACCAACTCAAGAAGCACAACACCGAAACTGAAGACATCCCCCTTTGGAGTGGCCACTAGGGTTCTTGTATACTCAGGGGCAACATAACCCAAGTCACCAAATTCTCCATTGACAAAAGTACTCAATGAGTGTCAATGGGGTTCATAAGCCGAGCAAGTCCAAAATCAGATATCTTGGGTTCAAAGTCAACATCCAACAAAATGCATTTGGAGCTTATATTTCGATGAATAATGCGAGGGTTGCAATTATGATGGAGCCATGCAAAACCTTTAGCTGCTCGAACAGCAATTTTAAGCCTCAAAGGCCAATCCATTTTTTTGTCAGCATCATGTGGGAAATGCAGTTTATCATGGAGGGATCCATTCGGCATAAGCTTGTAGACTAAAAGCCTCTCTTTCTTAGCCATGCAAAACCCAGGAGAGGAACCAAGTTGCGGTGCTTTATATTTCCTAAAGTAGCCATCTCAGAAACAAACTCTTTCTCTGAGTGCTGAGTGTCCTGCAACCTCTTCACCATGAGTGATGTTCCATCCTCAAGTAATGCCTTGTACATAGTACCCGTTCTTCCAGACCCAATTATGTTGTTTTTGCTAAAATTGCTGGTGGCCTTCATTAAATCACTTAATCTCATTTTTGAAACTGATTTCTCAAACATTGAAAGCTGGAAATAAGAGGATTGGGTGTTATAATGATGGACTTACAGGTCATTAATAAGGACAACAAAATTACCATATAACACTAACTTATTCAATCAATTATGTGACATAGTTCAACTGAGTATCAGTACAGTTATTCATGAGATTGTTAAGCGCTAACATACCTCGTACAGCATTGACACAAAACAGTTAAAACTAGCATGCAACTTGCATTCAGAAAATTCTTTGGATGTCAGGCGAATAGCCCAATGCATAATATTGTCGAAATACTTAAATAGGGAAAAAAATAATCATACGACTGCAAGAGGCACAGATAGTCATCTTACCTTGGTGCCTTTGGCACCCTTAATGCTCTTTGCCCATTTGTTTCCTTCAGGATCATCTTCCTTCTTCTTTCCAGGCAACCTACGCATAAAGAAGAACATTCCAAAACCAACCCCTAAAGCTGCAATGGTTACCCCACCAACAGCTGCCCCGACAATAATTCCTGTCCGTGGTTTCTTTGAAGGACCCTGGCACGCCGGCAGCGGACCCCCACATAGCCCTTGATTACTTGCATAGCTGTCTGCATTAACACTAGCATTTATAAACGCTGGAACAGGCCCAGTCAGCTGATTGTTTTTTACACTAAATGTCTTCAGTCGATCAAGTAGAAATCTCTAGAGGAATATGCCCCGTTAGTTGGTTGTTGTCCAGCTTAAGACTGTTTAAAAATGAACAATTTGCAAGACCTTCTGGGATTTGTCCGGATAAATGGTTGGAGGACAGATCAAGAGTGGTAACAAACTTAATTATACTGGAGATGTCAGATGGAATAATTCCACTGATGTTGTTGCTGGAAAGATCTAAACCTGTCAGAGCTGAGCAATTTTCAAGATCACGCGGAAACTGCCCCTTGAGTCCCATGCTCGAAAGTCGTACATTTAACACCTTATTCTCATCTGGATGCCAGCATTCAATTCCAGTAAACTTGCAGATAAAACCTTCGGTTGCATTGTCAAAATTCCATGTAGATAAGGAATTCAACGGATCTTCTAACGTCTGTTTTACAGCTCTCAGACATTCAACATCTCTCGGATTACCATTACTGAAAGAAGCATTGGCAAAAAACCAGGCAAGGACAGCAGCAAGAGCAGTAAGAGCTCGTCTATGAAGTGACATCCTCGTCAAGGCACAAGCAGAAACTAAATAGTCCAAGGGATGAAAAACTACTTATATGGTTGATTGGCACACAGAATACTTGTATATACAGATTTGGAAACTCCAAGCCTCATAAGGTCCCCAAACCAAATCCACACCAACAGAAACAAATCAGCACTCTGCAAAACATCCAAAAATCAAGACAAGGATATAAATAAGGAACGCTTAAGTCTAATGCATATAATTTCAGTCTCAAAACAAACTCAAGAAACCAGAGGCATGTGTCTGTTCAACAATAATAGTAAAAGCATGTTACATAGACCACGGAAATTATGTCTAATTACCCCAGAAAACTGCATGAGGTGATGCAAAACCTTGGCGGGGGGTTTTTTTTTTGCTCTTTTTTTTGTGGTGTGGCTGTTGGGGGGGGGGGGGGGGAGGCCAGCTCGATGCAGCAAAGACCGACTATAGAAAAAAACAAACATAAGGCTACCCATCCATTTGAAATCTTGAAATTAATGAAAAAGTTATGAGCAAAATCTGTTCCACATGGATGAGGACAATTTTAGGGAAAAAATGAAGTTTAAAAAAAAAAAAACAACGATTAAAAGGATAGCGACAAAACCTGCAACTAAGACGCTGTCGAGCCCTAAACTGAAAATTTAAGGATCCACAAAAGCAAGAATGGTTTCTTCAAATCAACATAAAAAAGAAATCTTGTTCTCCACTGATAAAGTTGAGAGCTTGATTGATTGATCACAAGTTTCACAACCAACACAATATAGCTCCCGAAAGGACAGGCAAGACTTGACTCAAACGATTCAAACCCAATTACAGATTGCTTTCCAAGAAACAATTTACAGCGTAGCATACAAGCACTAAAACAACTGAAAAATCAGAATAGCTACCTCAAAAGAAGATTAGCAAGCAAAGATATATATTTACAGCCGGTGTGAATCTTTATAATGGCCTTCAGCAAATGGGTCTTCAGACTTCCGACTGCAGTTCAGATGGACAAGAAAAAAGATCAAGTCTTTGGGAAGAAAAGCTAGAAGAAAGATTTGTTTGAGATGATGGATTTTTACTGTTGAGGGGATCGGGTCAAAGAAGCAATGCCTATCAGGCTATTCCATAATGTCAGTACTACTAGTTTTTCCAAAGCTCTCTCTTTCTGTCCCCCCGCCCCCTCTCTCTCTCTCTCACACACACAAACACAAGCATAAACACAAACACAAACACAAACAGTCACGGCGACGACCGAGACTGGTGCAATAAAGGAAGCTTAAGGAAAGAAAGGTAAGGAGACTGGAGTGCTTGACTTTCTTTGCTGCTAGGAATAGACATACGTTTGTACTGTACTGGTAGTGGTTGCGAAACAAAAGCGTGTTTAAAGTCTTTGACTGCCGATCCTTCTTTATCGTCTCCAATTCCCACTTTCACACTTGCCTCGAACCTTTCACACTCTATGTGCACTAAAAATTCGAGACAACACGAGTTTCATTTTGCAAGTTCAGAATTGTTTAACTCTGGAACAAAAATTTAGCTTGATGATTTTTTGCAAGTTTAAAAATTGTGTTTGAGATTGACTTTCTTACCATTAAAGCAGAACTTAAAACAGTCTGAATCACACTCAATTTATTTATATGCAAATTTTTTTCGTTAACTATATCAATTTTGACTTGTGTTTAAAAAAGTTAATAAACACAATTTCTTATTCTATAACCATTCTTGACTTAAATATTATCAAACACTGAGATTCATTCGGATGTGCCAAGTAGTTACTGGCAAAGGGTATTGAAGAATGGTCTTTCGAATTTCATATTCCTTCCCCTTTGGTCCTCAATGGATGGATTTAAAGACCTAGTAAAGTAAAAATTTTTACTCATCGTACTGCCCAATAACTCAATTGCCAAAATTCAAGAACCCCCTGCTTGACAAACCCAGAAGAATTGCTTGAGACCATTAATACTGCTGCATCAGAAGTTTGAAAGGAGACAACAGTAAGGCCATTGAGTTTTTTAAGTCTAAAAATTTAGGTGCTTAATACTTGGCTTGTGACGAAATTTGCAGTTGGGGAGAGGGGGTGGATGAAGAACTTCAGGACATTACCAGAATTTGTATAGAGCAGGAACATCTTTTACACTTAGGCCTTGCATATTTCAGTTAAGGTTTGAAGTCATGCACTAAAGATGGTCGCAGTCGTAGGCCAGACTAGTCATCCAATTTCTAGCATTCCTGAATGCATCTGCGATATTTTCCGTGTGGAAGAAGACGTAGGAAAATTCATTTGGTTATCTTTTCTATTGCAAAATCCAGAATACAAATTGTACCAGCAGCATGGCCAAGAACGTATCCTCCGACTAAAAGTGTCATTAAATACTCTTCCGCACAGCGATGGCGACCGGGAGATTTTTATTAGTTTTTTTTTTTTTTGACATTTCATGGATCGACGGAAATTAAAACACTGTCAATAAAAGTAGTAGTGTATTTTCTGTCTTCTTTTGGTAGGTTGCAACTAATGAAAGTCATGTTTCAAACTCTACTCCACAAAAGCACTTAATGCGGTGGCCAACCGTTCAATAGGGTTTAGTTATGAGATTTTTATTAAGGATTAATCTTTCTTACATTATCAGTATATACATTGCGCTAGATGAATAATAATTACGTAAATTTTGATTTTAAAATTTAATTTTTACACACATTTCATGAATCAAACGGTGATAATATACACATTATCAGTATATGTAAGATTTATTCTTTTATTAGTGCAACTTTCAAGTTCTCTCCCTTTTCCTTTCTATTTTAGTATAAAATTTAAAGTCTCCTTTAAACGAAAATAAAAATAGAGAGTCATTAACGACCATAGACAGATGGATTGAAGTATGGAAGCAGGAAATTTTCAAAAGAGAGACCAGAGTTTCAATAATATGATAGGACTCTGTCCTGACTGTGCCTGCCGCATGGGGCACGGCAACAAAAAGAAGGCAGAAATAAAGATGGGTGCAGTTGGATGACTAGAAACTAGAAAGGGAAAATTGCAGAAACTTCCCCTGAGATTTCTGATATTTGCATTGACTTTCCCTATCAATTTTGAAATAGCATTAACCTCTCCTAGAAAAAGTTGGAACTAATTTAAAAGGTAAAAATGTGTGAATTTATTAGAGTACCTCCAATTGTATTTGACTTTACTAAATGAAAGGTTTGGTTACTTTCATCAAAACCAACGTTTAATTTGTTAAACAAATTAAACTAATCAAACTATTTCTGCATAGTTAAATTAATTAACTAATTAACTAATTTCTATTTATCTAATTAACTAATCAAACTATTTCTACATAGTTTCACTTATTAACTAATTATATAATTAACTATTAACTAATTATCTAATTAATTAATTAACTAATTAACTAATTTCTGTTTATCTAATTAACTAATTAACTAAAGCTGTTGTCTGTTCGAAACTAACAAACTATTTACATGTTAAACTAATAAACTAATTAACTGCTTAACTAATTAACTAACTAATTATCTAATTAATTAATTAATTAACTAATTAACTAATTTTTATTTATCTAATTAACTAATTAGTCAATTCGCTAATTGGTTAATTAGCTTCACAGGCCAACAAAATTGGTTAAATAGCGCATTAAATATAAAACTTGCTAGTTTCCCATAAAGAGCTGGTATGTTATGGGCAAATGTTTTTTTTACTTTTACATATTTAATTTATGTTAAATACAAAATATACTAGTTTTCCTTTGGGCGCTATTTAACCAATTTTTTTCATAAAGAGCTGGTATGTTTTCCATAAAGAGCTAGTATAAAACATACTACAAAACCTGTCAGTTTCTCATAAAGAGCTGGTATGTTATGCGTTATTTAACCAATATTTCATATTTAAACAAATTTTTGAAAGTTGCATTTTTATTTGGAAGAACGCATTCCTTCGATGCGTTTTTCACTCTTTGGGAAGAGATTCAAAAATCGCAACCCTTTAGAAAGTTAGTTTAAAAACTTTCTCTTTTTGGTAATCCACTCCTTATTAATACAACCACTATATTTATTTTCTAGTATTAATTTTTGTTATGATTTATGATTTTCTTATATTTTATCAAAAAGTTAATAACTATTGTAGTTATAATTATGGAGATGTTAATTTGTCGTATGTGTAATTCTTTTGTTTTATAAGAATTGTTATATCATGAGTAATTTTGAAATTTAATTTCATTTAATTCCAAAACATTCGTTAAACCAAACTAGATATTGGAATGAAAAATATGTTGCATTTATATTCCTGAACTTGATTGATTCTTAATGCCTATACTCCTTCCTTGTTAATACTAATTGTCAAGCAAGATCAGGGCAAAATCGTAAGAAATTTCTTATCTCACTTCTACAAATAATTTTTTAATGGGACATCAAGCCTCAGGGGAGGTTTCTGCAACGAATTGTTTATGTTCAGGGGTGCTGAATGCCATTTCTAAACCTAGAGGGGAGGTTAGTGCAAGTGTCAGAAACCTCAGGGGAGGTTTCTGCAATTATCCCAACTAGAAAATGGGGGTTGTCATCTAGCTTGTCCCCACCCATCCGAACAGTTTGTGGGCCTGTCATTTTGTTATCATGGACCGAAGTCTAGCCCACCACGGTGGGCTGTATTTGCCAACATCTTAGGGAAATTTACGTTGTGCCCACTACTTTCAAGGACTTGACGGCCTTGTTAGGAGGAAGAATTATTGCTGGCCTTTTAATGCAACCCAAGCGTAAGGTCTCCATTGGGGGGACTGGAATTGTGCGGTACAAAAATTGAATAACGCATGGATGTCTTAAATCCGGTTGTTTGGGGTTGCGGTTCTTTTGATTAAAAAAAAAAAAACTTTTATGTGATAAAAAGTATTTTTACAGTGTTTGATGAACATCATCTCACAAAATTAGGAGTTGAGTTGAACTTTTTGTGTTAAAAGCACTTTTAACAAAAACTCAAATTTGAGGCTTTTACAGTAGCTTTTGTGATTTAAAAAATAAAATATCAAATTTAATCATGTTAGCCTGTATTATGAGCCAAATAAAGAGATAAACACTTTTAAAAAGTTTTGAATTGCATATTATCCAATACAAATAAAAACTTATTGAATATTGTCTCCAAACTATATATTAAAAACACTTAAACATTTAATAAATATTTTTATTAAAAAAATACTTTTCAATAAACTATTGCAACACCGAATGGACCCTAACTATGTCCAAATCGGCTATTTATTTTCTATAAAACTCGTTTACGTACCAAATTATGAGCACAAGGACCAGCGTTGTTTATTGAGATATTTATTATTGTGATTACTTTGTTATAACGGCGTTGATACTTGAAACCAATTTGAATTTGTGATCGATCGAAGGAGCAACGGCCCAAATGTCAACTAACACTTACATCTCCATTTATCGTCACCCCCAGTGTTACCTTTCTAGCTAACTTTTGTCCATTTTTTCGAGTCACAATTCCTACAATTCTGGTCCCATGTGTATATAAATTTGAATGACTTTCCCACATCTGGTAGTCCTTTCACTCCATTATTCTCTATAATGACCTCTACTATGTAAAGTATTCAACTTAATGATGTTAACAAATCTTTCTTAGTGATGGCGAAACCTTAAGCTTTAGGGCAATGCGTACTTTAATTTCCAAAAATGACTTCCGACACTCCATGAATTCGGGTCAAAAATTAAACCAAACCATCTACTCACAATGAAGAGAATTCTGCAACCTTATGGCCAAATAATAATAAGAGGAAACTTTGTGAACGGCTTCTAAATTATATCCAAACTCTCCAAACAATTGTCTTTTGCACAGTTTTTGCCCCCTCGATTATAAACT